AGTCACTCGCAGAATGCTGCTACCCGGCGGACCATCTTGGGGCCGATCAAATGAGGGACTGACTGCTGTGGGACACCGTTGACAGTTGCCGATACGGAGGCGCCAGGGACCAAGCAGCTGCTGTACACGTTGAACTGTGATGAAGCGGTAAAAGAAGCAAGGCCCAGGGATATGTATAAAATGCGTTGCGGGTACACCTCAGCAAGGTGGCAAGGATGACAAATCGGAAAACTTATTCATCCTCCGGTTTTGGGAACGATACAAGGCGGTACGCTAGCATTGTGGAAATCGTAAGACAGAGAAATGTGATCAGTAACGAGTAATCTGTATTTATCTGTAATTAACTTGCGCATTGATACTGCTGGGATTGTTAGGGTCGCTTTTACCAAAACTGCTAGACAGATGGCGTTGCAGAACTGTCGCGTGGCAAATATAATAATAATTCCAAGCATCTTTGATTGGTCTTCTTAGATGTAAAATTCGCAACCTTGAACCTGCCCCAAACCGCCCAAGCAGCCGGCGCACCTCAATTTTCTTCAACGGGACATTGCAGCATGTTTTGTTGCAAGGTACGGCCAGCAGGGTGAAGCAGTACTGGCCTCCGCCCACGTTGGTGACGACTGGGGCGAGACTGAAAGAAGCTTGCGCCCGAGCGCACAAGAAGAAGGGGAAATAGGGCACCGCGCCCGTCTGTGTGTACGCGAGCTCCACCGGCGCGACCTGGGCGGTCGCTCCACACGCCCTGCAGCCAAGTGAGGAATGAAGGAGCAGGCAAAGCAAAACCGGCAGAAGTGCCATTGGCTAAGTTTGAGATTATATTATTGTCACCAAACGAATGCTTGGATGCAGGCATGATTGCGTGTTTAAGTTATCTGCGGCATTATTGCTTAGGCCCGTCATATCACTTTAATATTCACATCCAATTCCAGCGCAATAGCCTAACTTCTTGTGACATTGCTAGTGCTGGGCAATCAATCGTTACCATGCAAGTGCCAGAGCCGAAGCCACGAGGAGAAGCGGAGGCGCCATGGTTGGGTTGGCGACTTCCGACTGAGGAACAAAGAACGGACAAGGCTTTTTATGTGGTCCTGTCTCCGGCCTCACCTGCACCGCCCGCCAGCAGTTTACCACGCATGGGCCTAATGCACGGCGGTTTTCAGCTTTCTGATGTACGCTCCACGCTGCTGAAACCATGACCGTTCGGCACGGATTTTGCACGATACTAGCTTGCTGCGCGCGGATGCATGGA